CTTCTATATGGATGTGGCTTCTACTGCCTTGTTGCTTCTCCTTGTATGCCCACCAGAGCTCAGACATGGGGTCCTGTCCTACTGACGTTATCACACCCAAAAATCCCACCCTGGGACCCCATGAAAAATTAAGTATTTCACTTAACACCCTTAACAATACAATCAAGTTCCAATACGCTGGGGAACCAGCAGTTAGCGTAATGGCTATGCCGCTGGACTCCCACATAGTTGACCGTGGTTCGCGTCCCGGACCCGGTGGCTTAAAACTCACGCTGGGCGTGTGTGCGTGCGTGCCCAAGATCCCGAGAGGAGAATGGAGGAGAAGGGATTGCGGCGTGACCATCCCCCCTGGGGGATGATTTCTCGCTGTCTGTCTCTATGTCTCTCTCTGTACGGTGAGCGCACGCGGCCTATAGCAAAAACCTCTCCAAAAAAAAAAAAAAAAGTTCCAATACGCTGAATTTTCAGGGGACATCCAACTTCAATAGCATGAACCTATAGGGGACAAACTATTATCCAAACCATAACATGAGTGTGTGTGTGAGAGATGTTTCTAAATAAAATCCAGCCCTTAGCTATCTTATGTGAGGAAAATGAGTGGACTCTGGTTGGTTGTGGTACCAGTTGGCAGTGTTTTGCACACAAACAGGCAAGAATCGAAACTTTTACTTGGCAGGTGCAGAACTCCTTTCCAACCTGGACCCAGCTGCAGGGCTCTATCTCGAATGCGATCCGGTAGTGGTTGTTCAGCACCAGGGGTCCTAAGCCTTTCACACATAATTTCACCCAAGTCTGCTTGCAGTCCTGTTGTCAGAACTCCCATTTGGCACAGGAGGAAACTGATTACAGCTATGTTAAGGGATTTCGTGCACTAGCAGCTCGATCTAGCGGGAAGCAGATAAGAGATTTCAACTCTCTACTCAGATCAGTCTACACAACCAGTTGAATCTGAGACGGCACTTAAGGAGACCCGAGGTACTCGAGGTACTCGCGTAAGGCGAACTGCAAACACCAAGGACACAGGCGGTTGCTCACACTTGCCTTTGGGTTTCTATTAAAGTGTCAGCAACTGACACCCCGAGTTAAATGGGGGTGTCCTGGAAGTTTAGCTTCGTGTGCAACCTCCAGCTCCGAGCCGCTCCTGGGTCCCCATGGGTCTCCCCACCTCTCGCCCACCTAGGTGCTGGCTGGGTCTCGGCTCCCATAAGGCCCGAAGACGTGTCTGGCGGCCCCGGCCCCGCCTCCTCCCCCGCGAGGCCCAATGGGGCGGCGGGCCCTGCAGCTCCGCCCGGGTTGGTTTCGGCGGCTCGGGGGAGCGCAGCAGCGCGCCGCCCC